ATTGTATCCTCTAACAAGTTCCTGGGCAAGGAAAATGTTATCAAACATTAGGCGCCCATCCACAAAAGCACCTTGTGCTTTATTAATCAAACCCGCAAGGGTGGGGGTCATTCTTGCCGCAATAATCTTAGTAATGGTCTTGTATAGCACATTAGTACACGAAATAGGTCTGAAGTCCGAGACCTTGGGGGGGTGACTAGTTTTAGGAATAAGTGCTATAACAGTATGATTTACCTGTTTAAGCAATCTTCCCGAGTTAAAGAACTCCTTAGTCGCTCGAATCACATCCTCCCCCACAATATTCCAATTTTTCTTAAAAAATGCCGAGGAATAACCGTCCGGCCCCGGTGCCTTGTCATCCCCAATATCGAACAAAGCATCTTTAATTTCTTTGTTAGTAATCGGAGATAATAGGCGGTCATGAACATCCTGTTCAATCAAGGGGCCGGTTCCTAGTACCGTTTGGTCAATGGGATCGGTTTCCATCTCGGTTCCAAAAAGATCAACAAAAAATTTTACAAATTCATTCCCAACATGCTCAATAGACGTAGTGAGATTACCATCATCCATCGTAATGGAGTTTATGGTCTTCCTAGCTATGTTTCTTTTGACGATCGCATGAAAGTATCTTGTCCCCTTATCCGCCTCAAGGATGTGTGTAGCCTTGGCTCGTTGCTGGAAGAAGCTGCATTCGGCCTCCCCAAGGAACGTAGCTCTTTTCCTCGCCTCCTTTACTTGGTCTTTTAATTCAACATCATTAGGCGTATCAAGGAGCAGCTTGTTCAACCTCTTAAATTCATCCTTTGCATTCTTTGCCTTCATAGTAATATGCCCAAATTCCATCTTGTTAAGTTCCTTAAGCGGCTGCTTTAGCAACTTAAGTTTCTTAACAATTTGAAATTGAGCCGTTCCATGCATATCCACATTCCAACTCTGCATTAGTATGTTAGCAAAAGCATCGTGTTGTATCCACATATTAAAAAACTTAAAAGATTTCGGCCTAAGAGAGGTATTATTGAGTATAGAAAACACGGTAGCCGTGTGATCAAACTCTACCTCCATTTCATTGAAATGAGCCTTGCATTTAACCCCCAACTGATCCCACTCATCATTTATCAAAACCCGATCCAGTCTAGCCCATAAAGATCCCCTATTCCAAGTATAGAATTCTCCCGTGGAGGGGGCATCTTGAAGGCTAGCTCGAATTTTAAATTCAAGTAGATCTTTTAACAGATAATCCGAGGGTGTGTTTGGACCCACCCTTTCAATCGGAGAACAGATACAGTTAAAATCACCTGCAATCATCCACGGGTCTCTAATTTGATCCCCAAGAAGAGCAAGGTGCTCCCACAACACCCTACGCCTCAAAACTGTATAAAGTGCATACACAAAAGTAGCATAAAAAGCAGTTTGCGACGTACGGCATTGGCATTTAAAATGCATGTATTGTTCTCCCATTTCAATTAAGGTACATGATATTAAATTAGGGTTCCAAAACACTAACATGCGGCCACCATCAATAAAATCATGATTAGTTTCAAAGGACCATCCAGGCCACTTATTAGAAACATAGTTAAAAATATTTATTTTCGTCATTTTTGTTTCCAAAAAACAACATAAACTTGCTTGATGAAATTTAATTAAGCTAGAAATAGTAGTGTGTTTAGAAGGTTTTTTCAAACCTCTCACATTCCATACTATTGCTTTAAAAGTCATCAGAAACCGATTCATTGGAGGATTGGCAGCCCTCCTTATTCGCCCTTTCCTTTTTATTTTTGCTTGCTTCCACTTTTTTTATTGCTCTCGTTAAGTACCTCTTGTTTTCCCTGGTAGTTACATCAAAGAAAGAAGCTACATAAGTATAAAAAACACTCTGATTAAAATTATACCAGTCGTTGTGAGGTGTTACTCCTGGTAACTTCCGCAGGCAGGCATCTGTGAAGGAGATTCCCCCCTCATCATCTCTCACTTTTTGTAGGTCCGGTCCAAGCCTTCTAATTTGGTGATGTGACGGGATCTCCATCCTTTGCATTACAAAAATGGTCTTCTTTTTGTTCTCATCATAGACGATTTTTGTGACCACGTCTCCCTCCTTGATTTCGTACACATTGCGAATAATTCTTCCTCCCATTTCATCAAAGGTAATGCTTCCATCCTTTGGTACAAAGGTTTTTTCATTCGGTAGAGTCCTGGGATTTGTCTTTGAAGCCTCGGCAATAGGCTTTTGGACTGTGAGCTTGGGCGCAACCTTGCTTATGGCCTCGGCAGAAGGCTTTTGGACAGTGAGCTTGGGTGCAATTTTAGTTTTAGGCTCGGCATTGGACTTCTGGATAGCAGCAACAGCTTGTGGGGTCTCGCCATTAGGAGTAATGGGCTTAGTGATAGGCAGTTTTGCCACAAAACTTGAGGCAGTAGCTATCTCCTTTGGTGTAAGCAGGTTCCGCACAGTAACTTTGGTTCTAGCAGCCCAGTTCTTCTTCTCTTTAACCTCTGCCGAGATATCATCTACTTGCATCGCAGTCCTCTTCTTTTCTACCCATATTTTCTTCCCTTTATCCCCATCTCTTGGCTTTTTTCTACTCACATTGAAACCTTTCCTTTCTTTAAGAACACTCTCTGCTTGCTTAGGCTCCTTCCCCTTTGAACTATTGACAATCGCAATTGCATCATTTGTACCATTGGAGGCAGTTTTAGCATCATGAGTCTTGGGTTTAGCCCCATTGGTATCACCTTCTACAAGTTCCTTGTTTAGCACTTTGCACGTAAAGGGATGGTGTCCATAAACCTTGCACTCAAAACAGTAGTTAGGAAACGTTTCATATATAACATATTGATTCCTTTCCTTACCAGATGGTTGTATAACCGGAATAGACAAAATAGGTGGTTTAGTGAGGTCAACCTCCACCAAAACCCTAGCAAATTGAGATCTTGTCTTTTCCTGGGTCACTCTGTCCGCCACAATAGGAACCCCAACTCTAGAAGCGAGTTCACTCATCTCTTGCTTGTTCCAAAGTGTTACCGATAGGCCGGGGAATTTAACCCAAATTGGGACTTTTAAAAATTCCTCACCATCAAAGTCAAAGTCCTCAGATAAAATCCTTAGGAACACGGCCTTACCATACAGGGCATAAGGCCCCTCGGCTATGACTTTGTTACGGTCATTCTCACTTTGAAATTGGAAAATTACCCATCCTCTATCATGTTGTTTGAGCTTGCATGGGACTCCCCACTTGATGGATAGATCATGGAAGGCTCTCATACCCGGAAACCTACCTGAAACAAACCCCACCAAACAAAAACCCCAAATATCAATAATAGTGGGCAGTTTTCTGTTAGAGAAATCTACCTTGTCACCTTTAGGAGGGATGTAATCCAACTTCATGCAATGCTCAATGGATCGGTTATCTTGAAAGAGCTGGTTCCAAGCCTTCGGTTTTGGGACTTCCGCCTTGTCTTTGTTTCCAACTTCAAATAAGGAGTCAACACTCCCCGTTTCCACATCCTCTTCATCTTGCACAAGTCCATCAATTCTTTCATTCTCCTTTGCTTGTTCATCTTGGATTTGCTTAAAAGAGAATTCAATGGAGCCCACCTTGATAGAAGCAGATGGGGAGGACTTTCCCAAGGCAGAATTAACCTCAATGGCCTCCACTGCTTGGGATGAGTTCGAGGCAGATTCCTCCACCCGTAGATGTGTTGGCACTAGGATAGAGTGTTCCACATTTAGAGTTTCCTTCATAGTAGCAGTTCCCTGGTTAACCAGCTCCTTTGGTATGAGTGAATCTTGCACCATTAGGCTGGGAGCAGTTTTGGTCTTCTTGAATAATAGTTCTTGCTCCCTATTCTCCATCTCTTTTTTGTTAGCCTCCATTTCAGCCTTCTTCGCATTTAGTCTCCTTATTTTCTCATCAAAAGCCGTGTCCTTAGGTGGAGGGGTACGCGATTGTTTGTTGTTCCTAGTCATTGTACAATACACATTTTTCGCAGAAGAGTTCCAGTGCTAAACAACCTGCAGTGTTAGTACTAACAGAAACAAGAACCAAGAGTTTGTAGAATAAACCAGGAACTCAGTACTGGTTACCCCCTTAGTATAGATATTAATCTGGAATAAGAAATTGCACCACAAGGACAGAAATGGAATGCAGAAATCAAGTATAACTAGTGCTAGGTATACTGTTGCAGTCTTCCAGGAAGATGAACAGTAACGAGGAAGTGGGAGTTTCCCAGAAAAATTCTAGAAAGCTTCCTATTTACTCCCCAAGCAATAGCGAAAACAAGGAAACAGACCGCAATCCAAATAAGCAAGCAATGAGCTCAGGAAAAAAACTAAACAGTATATAGATCTGCGTAGTAGCTACAGTACGAAATTTGGGGATGAAACGGAGATGTTACCCAATCTTGGTGAAATCGGTACCAATAGCTTCGCCTTCTTAAGATGGTTCCAAGACAAGCTTTAGGATGGCTTTGACCGATATAATTCAAAGAAATCTGAGGTCAACGGTATTGCGCAAACAGTACACCTCCCCAACGGTTCTTTGTTAAGTCCGGTACGGCAGCTTGTGGTGGTCTAGCATCAGGTGCCGGAGGTTCGCCAGAGGCTGGCGACCCCAGGGTAGCGTCTTCTTCCACAAACAACCGTCGATTGTTGAATCCAAGTGATTTTTTAACAGTGAAATCTGCGATTTAGGGTTTCCACAAGTCGTCGATTCTCTTCAAAGAATCAGTTTCTTACAAATCCAATCGATAGATATGTAAGATAACTGATTTTCGAGCAAGAGAAACAGATCTTTACAGGGTTTAATTCGTACGGGAATTCTGGAGAGAGCAACGAGAGTGACGAGCTAACTAGAAGAGTCCGCACTTTAGATGGTGCGTAACTTTTCTAGAGAGAAGCAGGAGCATTTCTCAACTCTTTACTCACACTGGATGAACTGTTTAGTTATTCGGAAACTTAGTACTTATTTAAGAACGTGTCAACTTTGACTTGAACGTATTACAATCAAATTTACATCAAACCCGAGACCACATTCCTCTCACCGGTCAACACTCTTTGACTCGCCGCCGGCGAGCTAATACCAGTAGATATGATAGCTCCTCACGTCGTTCTCTTCCCGTTCATGTCCAAAGGTCACACCATCCCAATCCTCCACTTGGCCCGCCTCCTTCTCCACCGCCGTGTCACAGTCACCATCTTCACCACTCCGGCGAACCGCCCCTTCTTCTCCAAGTCCCTCTCCGACGTCGCCGGCGACATCATCTCTCTCATTGACCTTCCCTTCCCGGAAAACATCGATGGCCTGCCGTCCGGCATCGAGAGCACCGATAAACTCCCATCCATGTCACTCTTCCCCACCTTCGCCGGCGCCACCAAGCTGATGAAACCCTTTTTCGAACGGGAACTGGGGAACCTCCCGCCGGTTTCATTCATGGTCACCGACGGCTTCCTCGGCTGGACTCTGGACTCCGCCAACAGCCTCGGAATCCCCCGGCTGGCGTATTACGGTATGGGCTACTTCGCCATGACCGTCTCACGATCCGTCGCCGTTTCCGGACTTCTGGTGAAAACAGAGGACGCCGACGAGCCGTTCGCCGTGCCGGATTTCCCCTGGGTTAGTCTTACAAGGAACGATTTCGAATCCACCTTTCAGGGAAGAGACCCCGACGACCCATCTTTCCGGTTTTCAATGGAGCAGATCGCCGCCACCATGAACAGCCATGGTTTAATCGTTAACAGTATCTATGAGCTCGAATCCGATTATGTAGAAAACTATAACCGGAACGGTGTGCCAAAATCATGGACCATCGGACCCCTGTGCTTGGCGGAGCCAGAAACAGAGAAGTCGCCGGAGAATCAAGAAAAGCCATCTTACATGAAATGGCTCGACGGACTTCTAGAACAGGGGAAGTCGGTTTTATATGTGGCGTTTGGGTCTCAAGCGGAGATATCAACGGATCAATTGAAGGAGATAAAGATCGGGTTAGAGGAATCCAAAGTGAACTTCTTGTGGGTGGTTAGAACGAAAGGGTGTGATCTCGTGTTCGAGGACAGAGTGAAGAACAGGGGAATGATTGTGACAGAGTGGGTTGACCAGAGGGGGATTCTCGGCCACCGGAGCGTGAAGGGGTTTCTCAGCCACTGCGGGTGGAATTCGGTGCTGGAAAGTGTATGCGCGGCGGTGCCGATACTAGCGTGGCCGATGATGGCGGAGCAACACCTGAATGCGAGGTTGGTGGCGGAGGTGATCAAGATCGGGGTGAGAGTGGAAACGTGCAATGGGTCTGTTAGAGGGTTTGTGAAGTCGGAAGGTCTGGAGAAGGCGGTGAGGGAATTGATGGAAGGAGAGAGTGGTGAAAAGGCGAGGAAGAAGGTGAAAGAGATGAGTGAATCCGCCATTAATGCCATGAAAGAAGGTGGTTCATCCTGGCTCAAGTTAGATGAGCTCATTAACAACTTTTGCCCAAAAAGGCAATTTTAGATGAAGCATCTGATTCTAATCATTCTGTTCCTGTACTTTTTAAACTTGACATATTTTGTGACTTACACGAGTATGTATTTATCTTCATCAATAAATAAGCTTAAAAAATGATGATCCACTCTTATACTCACTTTTGTACAAACAAAAAGAATACTTCACAAACATGATGATTATAATGTGGATATAAGACTGAATACATCAAACATTGTTGAATAAGCTTTGTTTTGCTTCCCTTTGTAGATAGTACCAAGTATAGAGTACTATTGTACTACTACGTATATAAGAATTAATGCCACAGTACCAAAGGGCATTAAAGAGTATAATATATTAAACAAAATATACTACGTACGAAGTATATTATAACAATTTAATTATTTTAAATAACTAGCCGTGTACGCACTACGTGCGACGGGTGTCCAATACTAATTTTTTAAATGAGGACATCAAACTATATGACCAAAATAATTGTCATCTTAATTACAAAGTTAGAATATGATTAAACTGTATTCTTTAAAGGTTAATGTGAGGGTTTGCTTAGATCGATAACAATTACGGAGTATAATATACAAGGACTTTAATAGTCCTCTCTGCAAAGACTGCAAGGGATGAAGGATATTAATATTGTAGGGATTTTAGAGCCTCTTTAAAGGCAAAGCAGTGATGTCAATAGCAACAATAGCAGTGCTATAGTTTGGAACATAGAGTTCTCGTCTTTTGCCATATCTTTCTCTGCAAGGATATCCCTTTTCCATTAACCAAATCGATAGCGTTTGCGGCAAATGATATCTTTAGTGGTCACCGATAAAGGAGGACTTCAGTATATACTTTATCATTACTCATAAATTAATCTTTACTGATCAAAATCTACTGGATATAACAACAAACACGAACTCAACTTTGCCTCAATATTTCCTTCAAAAAAAAACTTTGCCTCAATATATAATTTAGATTGAATATAGCATATAGTGTAGAGCAAACAAATAACCTTGGGATGGTCGAGTTGAATGGGACAAATGAGGCCAAGTATATCCCGAGCCAGGGAGTGATACAATGTTATACTGCAGTAAAAGAGATAACACACACCAAAAAACCTACCAAAAAATGAGCCACAAGCAGCAGCTCCTGAAAAACCACATGTCGTATCAAAACTCGCCATATACAAAATATGTATTTTAACATTTCAGGCATTATGCCAACAACTTGGTTGTAAATGGGGAGATAGTTTTAGGAAGCACCTCATAGCGATATTAGTATGGCTCCAATAAGCAAATGAGATGATGTAACCTAAAAAGATTATGCTGAAAGAACCATTCACTTCAGTTTCTTATATCTCTAGCTACTCTGCAACAAACAAAACATCTGTAAACTTACATACTTCAGAGAGCATAACATCAGTAAGTTAACATAACTTGAATTCAGAAATAACAATTCAGCACTTTCAGACCCGGCCCTGACAAATGGGAGGCCATGTTTGGAATAAAATAAAAGCTCTTACATTAAAAAATAAAACGGGAAAACTGTCAAATAGGTCCTCGAACTTTCATAAAAAAGTCAATTAAGTCCTTTTATAGGAGACTCTGTCCGGTCGTCGCGATTTGGGGCGGTTCCCGGTGGTTTTTTTTATGAAATTTTTTGAGCATCTTATTCATCAAGTCTAGTTTACTCATACCAAATTTCAGCTAAAAATTTAATCGAGAGCGCATTAAAATTAATTCGAGAACGCAAAAATGCGCAGTTATCTTCAAGAATTAATTTGAATGTGTTCCCGATTGAACTTTTAGCTGAAATTTAGTATGAGTAAACTAGACTTGGTGAATAAGATGCTCAAAAAATTGCATCAAAAAATTCCAGCGGGAACTGCCCCAAATCGCGACGGCCGGACAAAACCCCCTATAGAAGGACTTAATTGACTTTTTTATGAAAGTTCGAGGACCTATTTGACAGTTTTTCCAAAATAAAATATAAGGAGTAGTACCAAGTTCTGTATTATTATTGTATTAATAATAATAATAATAAAATAAGCTTAACAGTTAACTCTGGCATTTTTCCTCAGACAAGACATGCACCTAATAAAAAATAGATATCTATTCTGAAAAGTAAAGAACAACAAACAAAAGGTAGCTGAAACCATAAAAGATTATGGGATTAAATCAGTAAATCACCGAAGTAAAAATTGTAATTCAATCAAATACGGATTTCTGTAGGGGAAAAAAAATTAAAAAAACTCACCTATACACTTGAAACCGCAGTCAATGATGAAGCGACTTTGAGTAGCAGAAAATAATCAAATATAAGTCGTGCACGGTCAAGTGCTCATCAACATTGCAGTACCTCAATGGCGTATATTATATTTGAATGGCATTTGGGATGTAGCATAGAGAAGTTAACATTGACAAGTATGACAACTAACAACTTGATATATAGATAATAGACTACATAAAAGAAAAGATACAGACGGCCAGACGGGGAAGGTGTTAGGCTAAAGAACTGTGCCAGAAAAGCTCCCGAATTATGACACTGATATTAAGGTTTAGAAGAAACTAGTGTAACACCCGAGGCATGCCTCGGTAGTGATATCACTTTGATAGGTATTGAAATGATAAATATCAACCGAGGTTTGGAGTTATTTATGGAATCAAGTAATATTGATATATTACTCGTGATATAAAAAAGAATATATATGTGCTAATGTTTTATTGAGATATGATTGAGAATGTGCCAATGATTCATAGGCTGATACATAAAATTAACCATTTTGAAAGACTACTTTATACACAACATTGATTTTTTTATTTTACCTTTCTCTCCCCTCTTAAAAATATCATCTCATTGCTACTTTTCACTCATAAAACTGCAACATATAATGGGTCATGCGCGTATAACCATTTTGCCAACTAATTTTTGCTCAAATATTTTTTAATATGATAATGACGATGATGCTATTAAAACTTAAAAGTGCAATTTAAAAATTGAATTAGTAATGACCAATAAAATTATATAAGTCTATGGGCCCTAGAAGAAGAAAAAAGTAATAGTGATTGCCATTATAAAGAAAGCAATACAGTTAATTTGTTTTATTAAATCAGAAAAATACTAAAGAGTCTAAAATTGAAATAAAAGTATAAGTTGCATTAATGGTACATTTTCATCGTGTCGCATAAACGTAGCTCATAAGAAATAAAATGATTTGAGTTGTGTTGATGAACATATCCCAATACGTGATCAATCTTGCACGTAATACATTAACTATGTTTTCTAATTGAGATGATCTCAATCCAATTCCAATCATATTGCAATCTGAGAGATGGAAGACAAACACCATTATGTTATATTTGATTGGAAAATTCTTCGATCTTTATGACGTGTTTTTAATGTGATAGTAAAGATGAGAATCGGCCCCAATTGAAAGTGTGTTAAATTTGATTCAAATTTTTGGGTATGATCGGTTCTAGTAGATGTGTTTTATGTGCAGTTTATAATTGTCAAAGTTGAATATGGTCTGATTTGATATGCTCTAAGACAAAAATTAGTCCAACTAAAAACATTTAAACTTTCAAGTGATAATGACATTGATTTTTTTTCTAAAAAATCTGCATTCAATCTTTGATTTTATTACTACTCTTAAAATGTTTGACGGAGTGTAAAGATGTTGGGCACTCATTTGAGTTAAATTGGAAAGTTCATTATTTCGAATTGTAAATTGATGGCTTATTTTGATACGTATATATGAGCCCGTTTGGTGACCCTACTTTTCGGCTTATCGGCTAATTTTGTAACTAAACACATAACTATTTATTTCGCGGCGCTGAGTTGTGTTAGTCTATAAATAGGTAATCAAGGTTGGATTTACATTATCACGAGATTGATTGAAGTTAGGATGTTTTCTTTTGGACTGAAATTTGCTGGTCTGGTCTGATCTAGTCTGGTCTGGTCTGGTTTGGTCTGGTCTGTTAAACGTCTGGTCTCTGTGTATTTTATAACTACGGAAGTCAAGTCTGGTCTGGTCTGGTCTGAGACTGAAAACAGTCCAAAAGAAAACATCCTTACTATGGATAATCATTTTAGTTACTTATATACGGAGTATATTTTTTTACTTTATTTTATTAATGAAATATACTTTAAAAATAATTTTTATAATTTAACAGAATCAGTAAATCGAACTACTTCAGTTTGAACTTCAAAATTTTCAGTATTAATAAACGGATCATAGTTTAAATATTTGTGACATTTTAAAAGAAATTATATGCGCAATTTGTTAAATGTTACGTAGTATTAACCATCCAAAAGGGTCTTGTATACTATGAATTATGAATTAAATTAAGAGAAATTACCCTAAATAGGACTAAAAACGTTTGTAAATTTTAAAATATAAGACTGCCATGTTTTTTAGTTCTCAAAATGGGACTAATTACCGTCATGTTTTGGTAGTACCAGACTTTAAACATGACAATATTTTCCAAACTTGGCAGTAATTATTCCTATTTTGGGAATAAAAACATGACCGTCCTATTTTGGAATTTACAAACGTTTTTTGTCCTATTTCGGGAACTTTCCCTTAAATTAAATATTATAAGAGCTTGTTATGTGGAATAGTACGGTCTCAAAACCAATTCGATTAAAATAGCGTAATGAATGGATATGGGAGTCCAAATCCAATTTCGATTGATTAAGTTTAATGAACGAACAAATTACTTGTTATAATTAAAAGTGATGTTAAACTTCTATTAACCAATCAGATGACGACATGTCAGTATTTTATAACTCAGTTTTACTATATAAAACAATAGATAAGAACGCTGAACTCCAAGGTCTGAAGCTTTTAATTCATAAAACGAATTATTAATAAACAAGTGTTGGGCATCAGATATTGTATAATGTTACTTATGTTAGAAGTTTGGGTATAATGTTACTTATAAATAAACTGCACAGTTATCTTCAAGAATTAATTTGAATGCGTTCCCGATTGAAGTTTTAGCTGAAATTTGGTATGAGTAAACTAGACTTGATGAATAAGATGCTCAAAAAAATTCATCAATTTTTTTTACCAGGAACCATCCCAAACCGCGAAGGCCGGACATAGCCTCCTAAATAAGGACTTAATTGACTTTTTTATGAAAGTTTGAGGACCTATTTGACAAAAATAACTGCGCAGTTAAAAGCGTAATTATCTTCAAGAATTCATTTGAATGCCTTCCCGATTGAAGTTTTAGCTGA